ATGCTGCTGGTGATATTGTTGGTGTTGGGGAGGGGGTTCAAGGATTCACGAAAGGAGACAAGGTGATTGTGACTTTTGATCTTGCTACCTTATATGGTCCGATCAAAAACTGGAATAATGGACTTGGTGGCCCAATTGACGGTGTTCTAAGAGAATATGTAGCAGTTCCATCGACGGCAGTCGTCAAGCTTCCGGATTCCCATCTTAGCTATAGCCAATGGGCTAGTGTTGTTTGCACCGGGACCACTGTATGGAACTCTTTCTACGGGAATATTCCTCTGAAGCCAGGAGATACTGTTCTCTGCCTTGGTAAGTCATCCGGAATTTGTGGTAGAATAGAGATCTAACTGGAAGTGATAGGTACTGGAGGGGTGTCTGTCACTGGTCTCGTTCTTGCAAAGGCTGCTGGTGCCACTACTATTATCACATCTTCTTCGGAGGAGAAGCTACAGTATATTCAGCAAAAGTACGGAGCTGATTATACCATCAACTACAAGACCACTCCCAAATGGGCAGAAGAGGTGCAGAAGATAACCAACGGCAACGGTGTAGATTACATTCTTGAAAACGGTGGCTCTGGGACTATCAAGCAGTCCTTGGAAGCTGTTGCCTACGGTGGTAATATTGCAGTTATAGGCTTTCTCTCACCTTCTCTCCAGCATACCATGCCGGATGTAGCCGGTCTTGCATTGGCAAAAGGAGTAATTGTTCGTGGCATCATGGTTGGCTCTAAGCAGCTGCTTGAGGATGCTGTTCGATTCATCGGAGCTCGTAACATACCTGTCCCTGTTGAGAAGACTTTCAAGTTCGGCCGGGACCAAGTGGTTGATGCATACGCATACCTTGCGAGCAGACAGCATACAGGAAAAGTCTGTATCGACTTTTGTTAGCAAGCCTTGAAGTTTTCCATTTGCTTTTAATGAGTAGGGTGAAACGATACGCCTATAAATCCGTAACATAATATTTACGAATTTACAACTAAAGTCAGTCTCAGCCCCTAAGCGCGCCCCATTCAGATGTTCTACTGTGGTATACAGGGCTATAAATTTACGCACTGTCCGACTTGATAGGATTACTCATTTTTATATCGGTCTTAAATTCATGCTTTTTTGACCATTCTAAATTTCTATATGGCCACGCGTTGGGCCACTGGTTCACCGAGTACGTCAACTACGATATCAGTAAGATCATATAAACCGGTTAGAAAGAAGAAGCAAGCAGCACAAAACGATCGCGGAGGCGAAACGACTATATATCAACTCAGCTAACCAGAAGGATGTATTAATTTCCTAACTACATCAAGCTTTTATTTTCCAGTAAATCTAGGAAGATCGTCAACGAGGGTCCATATTGGGTACTGTCTTGAAGCGGAAGTGACAACCTACGGCTTGCCCAATCTGCCAAGGGAAACATGCAAAGATCATTATATGATCCTTTTCTTTACTTCTTTTTTCAGGTTTCTCACAACTAATAGTGCACCGATACAGCTATTTATCAAGGAAGTACAGCCTCGGGTTCTGGGTGTGTATTTGATTTCTCGAAGGACAAACGCCGCAAAGAACATTGGTAGAAGCACAAAGATGCATCAGATACCTAACAAATTCTTTTACAGTTAGTCCGCGTTCTGTATGAAGGCATCAATGAAACTGTCAAGAAACTCCGAGGAAATATACAAGGTATTCCCTCACCTCAGGAGGCTATGATAAAGTTGCGATCACTCTTCACATAGCGATTATCTTTTGAGCTTGTTCTCCTGGTAAGGTCTGTATTAAGCTCACTGGCCCACTGTTAACCTAGTCTTAATTTGACCCGAAAAAAGGTTACAGAAGAAGTAATAATCGGAATGTGGCCGGTAATATATAAGGGGAGGAGGGTGATAGCCATATTTGTCTAGATGACTGGCGGTTGCAATACTCTACAAATTGGCCACTCTAGGCTCTATCTTACATAGATGGAGAGTGACACTAGACACCACTATCGTAGTAGCGGACCATAGAGAAATATACCACGAATGTAAGTCAACCCTGTGTAGAATTCAAAGGCCATGTGTAATCGGAAGCACACCCATTAACGTCACAGTCTTAACCATGGAGGTGTTCGATGTAAGCTGCGCCAAACTAGTTGCTTTATAGAGCTGCGGGCCAGCTACAAGAGCAGTCAGGGCAGTAAACTGAAAGGACAGCATGTAGAAGCATTGAGCCTCCTGAAACTCCACTAACGTGAACTTAAGGGCGGAGAAGTGGCGGTGTCGTATGCATCTTGTGACTCCCGGAAAGAATTTTAGTATGAGTACAGCGAAATGGATAAAGGCAAGGATGCCAGATTGCATCGCCAATGAGAGCAACGCCTGCGATTCGCGCGAAAAGATAAATATTAATAAGTCATGCAGTCAAGATACAGAACCTTCTAGGCAGATTCACCCCTACACCACTAATATCTCGATTTGCGCTAACGTTGATACTACGACAGGTCACAGTTTCGAATTCTGGTTCGGGGTGGGCGAACAGGCGATAAAACTCGTCCGGAGGGTACCCCTCTGAACTGCATCCCTTCAACTGTGGATCTGGCATTTGACAGTACTGGTTAAGGCACTTCCTGATAAGGTCCCCCAAAGTACTGTTGACATGCAGATAGCAGCGTTCTGAGGATGGACCAGAGTTATCTGTGCGCTCCCGAAGACCCAACGATACTAAAGCACCTAGCCAAGGTATTGAACGATTCGAATACCTCTGATGGGTCTAGGCAGAAAGTGGCCGTTAGGTCAGATAGATCCCTTGCCATAATCGGTTAAACGAGGAAGTGGCACGTATTGGAGATTCATGGGTTGTTGGCTTTGTAAAGAGCAGAACCAGTAATTGCCAAAGATTGAATATTTATGTTGTTGTGCCTTTTGTGGAACCCCTGAGACCAGACTTATGTTATTAATAATCCTCAAACATTGCTGATTCTTTGTTGATCCAATCAATGGGAACGAAAGCAATGAGACATCCGTTAAGTGGAGTACCACTTTATCTGTTATGTGAGTCGTTTTTGAATCAGTCCTACATTCGTTAATTGGTTATTTGACTGGCGTAGCTGAGCTAATCATCCTCTTTAGGATAACCACATGAAACCTGCAAAAACGGTTAGAGAGGTTCCCATGAACCAATCATATACTTATAATGTCAAATTGTCCTTTTAAAGAGCCAATTCGGCTTCCTGCTCTTTCTCCCTCAAATTATATTTTATCAAGGAACTTCTGTCTTGGGTTCTTCGGTTCTTTATAGTCTAACAAACAGACTATATTTGGCCCAGAATACTATCGGCAATATTGTCGAGATCTGGAAAACACAGGCGTTTTTCGGAAACGATATACTAAAGTAAGGAAGAACAATATCAAAGGTGTCAAGGATAAGTAGACGAAGTGAGAATCTATTCCTTGTACTAGAATAAGCTCGTAGGATGCTTGCAGTGGATTGGCATGAGGTACTGCGACTTTCTCAGGGAATACTGGCTAAAATTCATTGCGGCAGCCTGGAAAAAAGATGCCATGATCTTTTTAAAATCGATACTTAATAATATGTAATAAAAAGGTTCAGCAGTTCACATGAAAACTGGAGGTAATGGTGCCAAGTATATTACCAAGCTATTAGCTGCAGTCTTGACGCCAAATGCCATAGTGACATTAATGATGTAAGCTCTATCAGTGTCTCTCCCTTCTCTGTTCACTAACTACTGGCCAGTACATGACCGGCACCCTGGTGCCCTTATATAAACTAGACCTGTCTGCCGGAGACAAACCCGTTATGAATGTCGATGACTTATACCTGGTGCTTCATCATCACTGGGTACTAGACAGCACGCCATATCCTGATGGCAGGCAGATTATCCTGCCAACCTTTCTTCTTCTGATTTCCGCTTACACCGTCAGTCGGCCAGGGGCAATAGTATACGTGGCGATAAAACAAGTCGCTAGAAAACGAATCGTCGCAGAGACGGACGCAAGCTCATTGACTATATGGCAATAGGAGAGACAAGGACTACTGGCGAACAAGAAAAGTAATACGGTAAGGGAGCGCACAGAGCCTGAACAGGAACTATCAGAGAAGCAATCAGAAGAGAGTCCTCTGGTTATCCATGATATCTTTACTTCCATAAGCTAGGTGTAAAGATCTACTATCCAGTGCAAGTGGTCCGTACACTAGGTAAGGTAGGATACCTGGGAAGAATTGTAGTCTTATTCAATCAAAAATAGGCGTGGCTGCGGTGACCCTGGCACACATGTTGCAATATTTGGGAGGCTGAGGCCGCAACAATCCTTCGCAGAAGCAAAACCGGTAGAAACTGAATAGACCATAACAGCACACCTTATGCACCTTTTGGGACTCCTTACATCCAACAGCAGCTTCCTCGCCCATGGCCGAGACAACCGTAACTACTAGAGACAAAATATTCGGTCAGTGTCCTTAAATGTTGACGATATGTTCTAGTATCACTTACAGACGTCCTTGCCCGCATCGAAGTCGCTTGTAATCTGATTACCAATGTCACCTACAGGAACCTTGACATCGTCTTTTGCGACCCAATCCTGCGTCACTAGGTTGAGGAAACCTTCATCAACATTGATCTATATATGATAAGGATACTCTTTGCGTTTGCCATGTATCGTTAACTTACAAGCTGATACTCAAAACACCGCACCGCCGGGATATCGACGGAATGGTCAGGAAGAAACTCCATTTCAAGCTGTCTGCCAGTAAAGATGTCCACACCTTTCACTTGTGTCATAGCCCGACTCTCTTCGACAGAAATATCAACAACTTTGCACGGCCGGCCCTCAATAATGATGTAAGCATTCTTACGTAAATCCGAGCTCTTTTCAGACCATGTTACAGGTTTGACAGCGTTCTCCTCATCCTAGGGCATGTCAATAACTTGGTTCGACCTTTAAAGTTTCGCGTGTGCTCTAGGTGATTGTAAACACGGGGGGTCCACATAGATTTGAGGTAGCAACAGACCTCCGGTTAAATTAAGACTGTGCAGATATAAGGGAAGAGTGAGCTTTAGAGAGACATACGAAAGTGTGATCATTTTCTTTGCGGTCTGATATTGTGAATGACTACGGAAGAAAAGTCCGAGAGAAGGGTAGAAATGATGAAGAGTTCAGAGGTTGTGAAAAAATCGGTGGTAGGGGAAGCGTGCAGTGTTTAAGTAGCCTACACCCACGAGGACGATTGAATTGGATCGAATTGCTCTCGATTCACCCCCGAAGGAATTGGGTTCCGGACACCAAGGTTGGGCACTGGATCAATTCTCCGTATCCGTGCTTGCTCTTGCGCCACAATAGTTAATACCTTCAGATCGTGGAAAATACTCTCCATGCCCCGCTGAGTAGCGTGTGGGCATCACAGTCGTGGTTTGAAAGTTTTCTGAGTACAGAGCATGATCTTTGGCCTGATACTTACCTACATAATAGTTACTTCAAAGGCACAGGAAAATTACTCAGTTGGTCCGGCAAACTCTTAGCTCACCGCTCATACACTGACGCGGTAAGAGGTTCAACAGCCCCTCGTGGAACGTTTAGCTCTGAAAAGTTAGATCAAAAGCGGGCATCTGACCAAGTGCTCTACTATAACAAATTCATTTAAGAGAGCAGATAGCTTAAGTTATGATCTTGAGTTTGCAATAGGTAGTGTGGTGGGGCGTAGGCGAAGCAAAATATTTTAGGGGCTGCGCGAAAGGATCTGGGTTCTAATTGGTTTCCAATCCACTACTTAACTACTCCATTTCCTACTTTCTCTTATAATCTATCTGTATAATTAACTAGTTATTTTGATTGGTCCAGAGGTTTATATAACTATAACTATATGCAAGTTTCAACAACAACGCTATATATACGACCAACAATATATAGTTTAAATGATAAGTTAGGTATAGATAGAACACTAAGACCGATAGATCTCAATATTTATTATACATACAGTCTATTATAAGGAGATAGTCAAGTTATACCGAATCCTGCGTCGGCCTAAGACTTAGTTAATTCAAACTAGTAAGCCAATCGCCGTCGGGTGTGTATATATCCTAGCCAATAATGATATTAGTCCAATCTTTTCAGACTCCTATGTCTCATTTCCGGTTTTCACTGTAGTTCAGATAGACCCCAGTGTTTTCTAACTTTATTCCCTTTAGTTTTATGGTCCCTTTCTTCTCACTTTTCGCATGGGTTGGTCTTGCCCTTCCGCCACGCAGAAATCCAACAACCATCATAGTGGAACGTCGCACAAACACTATACGCGTGGCCTCGCTGTCGTCGAAGGCAAGAGCTGAGGATCTGGGTCCAGTATGAAGTGTGTCTAACTAATCATGATTAGTTAGGAAATAGCGGCTCTCACTGATGATCGCTGCGGATTGCTGTGGGAGGGTGGCTTGTGGGATTGCCCCACCTGCTCCAGGAAACATTCCATTGTGCCTTTTCTTACCCACCCATCCCTGTGTTCATTTTAGATTAACGCTTTCAGTTAGCTTTACTACCCCGTCCATTCTCGCCCCAAAGGGCATGCTCGTTAAAATGTAAGCTGCGCGAATACCGATTTTGAAAGCTGTTATTCATGTAAACAACTTGCGAAAGTACAATCTGTGAAACATTCTTCGCTCTTAGTAACAGGTAGCTCTGTGGCATAGTGGCAAGGCAATCCAGAGAATTGGGTCGCAATTGTACATTGTAAAAAGTTGTAGACATACTTAAATCTGGGCATTATCTCGATACATGAACTCGTATGTATATAAACGAAGTGAAAGAAGCCAAAGGACGTCTAAACAGACTCCATACTACCCTGACCCAACATGGTCTTTTTTTTCCCCCGCTTCCGGCTATTCGAAATAGAAGATCAGTCCTGGTGTCCTGACTCGATGGATAATTTCATCGAAAACTATCACTGCACCCTGGAATCTTCGCATCCCCGCTGTGAGACATACTGCCCCCAAGATCGCCAGAAGTATTATCCGTGAGAACCTCCCCAACGCTTTTCTATATACTTTTGTCAATCCTTGTGCCGGTGCTGGAGGTTGGCTCGGAACTTTGATGGGGGGATACTCTCACTCATTCTATTCTGCTAGTCGTAAAGACATGTTTGATCTGCTACTGCACGCCCAATCTGCAGAATTATTCTACTATCTCATGCTATCTGCATCTCGAATGACGCTGTTTAGTATTTGTATAATTTTGATAAAGAACGGCTAGTGGAATGGAACAAGATCACTAAATGGGAGAGGAAGGAGGGAGCTATGATATGTTGCAGAGAATCAGACGCATCGAGCGTAGTCTGTGGCGAAAACCCCTTTCAGCGGGGCTATATTCAGTTGTGGGGTAGGGCGACCGTTGAAAGAGTGACTGGTACGCCTATTGATATCTAAGAGGAAACTCGACAAAAGGTTTGCGTTCCAAATATGCACGAGGCTGATGAGAGTCTGCATGCAGTAGCACTCCAGGGTCTAGTTATTATTGTCCGATAGTGAACGTTTATCAGAGAGGAAATTTTAGGTTCAGTGCCATGATGCAATAGTTAGGTCATACCCATATGATTTGAGAGCAGAGCCCCTACGAAATATGTGACTATAAATTTTGCTGGTTTCACATAATAGCTCTCTAACATTCCATGACATTATATGCCTTCAATGATTAAGGGAAGGTATATTGTACCAAGACACACGCAACCAGTCAACTTGGATCCTCTGCGTATCCAGTCTCCACTTTAATATTAACGTTCTGCGTCGAGATGTCTCGCAGCATACCTCTTATGCTACGAATTGGAGCAGTCATGACACCTATTATTGTCAGCGAGAACCTTTCTTACAAAGAACTTTTTGAAATTATCAGCAGACATGTCGGTACAGAGGAAGACTCATACAAACAAAGTCTCGAAGGATTTTC